GCACCGGCCCTCAACCCGAGATCCCTTCCCCGCCATTAACGCCGCATCGCCGGTCGCCGGCGAATGGCCGCTTTCTGGAGCCAAAAGAGCCGCCGGCTGCAAGTTTGAGCACTTGGTGTCTCACCACTGAAGGTGTCGGGCTGGGTCCACTAATTTTCCTTGTGTCGGCTCTTGCACGGCGTGGGGAGCTCACGGGTTTCGGTCAGGGATGTTTGAGGCCTCGGGGTCGTGGAATTCACCTCTTGTGGCTTCGGTTTCCAGGTCTTTGCAGATTTGAGGTTTTTGCAATCGCCAGCCCTCGGCAAGTTTGGCTTTGCAATGCAAAAGGCATCTTACGTGCAAGCGTCGCGGGGCTGCATGGATAGCAGGGGCTTGAGAATCGGATACGCTGGCTTGCTTAGCCAATAGGCATATGGCAAAGGCTCCGCGATGCTTCGCTGCACCATTAGAAACTCAAAACTCAACACAGCCCCTAAGCCTGAGCCTTCACCGCCCCTTCTGCTCTCAAGTTTTGCTTCGTCGAGAGAAAGATGCCACCCACAAAACTCAACAATCCACTGAGAGCTCGGAAGCAAGATGTTCCCCGACTTTGAGCCAAGGACGCGATCCCCAGGACCTCGCACCAGGATGGATCCAGACTGAAATGCCTACGCAAGTCCGAGCTCTGAGGCCTTCGACATAAAAGGATCGAGTGTAAAATTCCAACGACCACCGTGCAGTTTCAACGGATAGGGTCGGTTGAGGGCAACAACTTTCAAGATGTTTTCCTAGCACAGGCATCCCTTTGCTTTTTCTCGGGCCTACCCTCCTCTTTCTTGTCTTGCCGCAAAGCTTAGTGGCTTAGTGATCAACCTTTGTGTTATCATTCTTCTCAGCATGGACGAACCCCTAAAATGTAAGAAATACGCCCCAATAGGCCTCAAACCCAACAAAAGACAGATTGTATAGATTTCGCCATGACAACACGATGCTCGATGTCGGAGATAGAACCTGCAACCTCCAGCCTGGGACGAGCGTGTTTTCTGTAGTTATATCTACCAAACACGATGTGTTTTAAAGTGGCAGGTTCCATGTTTAGCCTGACTCACGAAAGGGCTGCCGTCCGGCATTCGGGCTTTACTTGACCTGGTGGAAATGATGTGTCGCAAGTGCCATGTTTGTTCGGATCCTTCTCTGCACCCCCAGAAGAAAGATCACCTTCTTGGATTCTTTGCCTCGCCTTCTTGGTAGAGTTTGCAAGTCTCGACACCGAGAAAACAGGGGCTGAAATGGGCATGTGGCTGTTGCGCGTTTACTGAGCGATCGAGCCAACAGCAAGAAGCAGGGCGTAACCATCCTCACCCCCATAGCTCCTTGTATAGCCCATGCAAGAAGGGATTGCATGTTTGATGCGAGAAACTCTCCAGGAATCAGGCTCCAAAAACCTCATCTCTCTCCTCATGACCAAAGCTTTCACAGTAAGTGTCTCACGCTCGCTACCTCTTCAATTGGAAACCCCCAACATCCGGATGTGTTCTAGCCCGGGAAACCAAGACGAGTCCGATCGTTCTGGAGTTTATGGCTTGTGCCGTTGGCCCCCATCCCCCCTTGTAACCCGGGCTGTACCACAACGCGGATTTGTGGTCCATGGCTTCTGCCCTGCACAGGCCCTCACTGCCACCGACGAAGCCTCAAAACGACATACCTGACAACAATGATTTACAAAACTGAATCATAACGACGACAGTGCTCACGAGAATAACCAACGAAAGTCAGTTGCTGGTTCCTCTGGCCTGCTTTGATTGGGAGGGCCCTTTCCAGCACGTCCTGGCCACCGAGCGATCCGAACTGCAGGAACTTGGGGCTCTTGCGCTCACAAGTCGGACAAGCCAAATGAGGCCTTGCGGCTGTTGGGGATTTTAAGGGTTTCTGAGCTTTGAAGTGTGGAGTTCGGGCGTCGGGGTTTTGGGCTTAGGGGCCTGGATAAGGATTCTTGGTGCCCAAAGGCTCATCAGATTGTAGCCAACAGCTACACCAGTGCAACGAGTTATCAAGGTTCCGCTGCAACCTTGTGGTGGGAGGTAGATGGTTCCCCGTACTTCAGCCCTTTAACTATTGAGATAGGACGAAATAAGATCCTAGACGCAATTTTGACTGAGTTCCTTACTACCTAGGTAAATAGTAAACGACAACTCACGCAAGCTCCGCAGAGCTAGCTTTCCTGACAGCAGCAGCAGCAGCAGCAAATCTATCCACAGCAGTTGTCGTCCATGCTGCGAGCGCCCAGCGATCTACCGAATTGACGTGCAGCTCGAACTGGTTCAATCCAATGAGTTCTCCCCCTCTCGGATAATACAGGCTTTCAGGATTGCGGAAAAGATTCGATTGAAGTTCGTTCAATGTGCAGCTGCTTGCTGGGTGTCAAAGCATGGATTCAAGTGGCTCTTCTCTACGGTCCCTTGGGCCCACAACTACTAAGGGATGTAAGGCCAGGACCCCATAAACCATCAACCTTACAACGACCCGTCCACAGTCCTGGAAGACGTAGACGGAAGATCCGTATTGCTGCCTCGCAGTGCAAGGATGTGGGCTTTAGGGCGAACCACACCATACCGTCAACCCCATCAGCATAAAATGCTTTTTGCATCCAGCCTGCAAGAGCCTCTGCTGGTTTATGCTGAACCTTCAAACCCGATACCTGTTTGAATCCCCATGTCCTGAACCCTGAACACATTATGCCGGCGTAGACCCCAGACAGTGAGGAGGGCCAGAAGAGGCCAAAGGAGGCCAGAAGGGCTCGCAGGGTTTAGGGTTTAGGGCTCAAGGCGAAACCACAGCAAGAGCGTCGAAACGAAGGTCGCGCTCCACCGGTGCGACGTTGCGGCCCCCCCGCAGAAGAGGCCAGAAGAGGCCGGAGGAGGACGGAATTCGCGCGAAACCACAGCGGGTGCGTCAAAACGCAAGGGAATTCGCGCGAAACAGCGGGAGCATCGAAACGCAAGGGAACTCGCACGAACCCACAGCGGGAGCGTCGAAACGAAGGCCCCGCGCCACCGCGTGCGCCGTTGCGGCCCGCAACCTAAGCGGGCCAGGAGGCCGGAATTCGCGCGAAACCACCCACCGCCACGTGCGCCGTTGCGGCCCGCAACCAAGTCCTTTAATCCCAACGTAAGAACCCCAAGTGCAAGCACTGTTTGGGGAATTATGGCACCAAACTCCCGAAAACCCCTCATTACGTGATACCCGGTTCAGGGCTTCCAAAGCCTTGCAGACTCTAGGTTCATGTGCCCAGGTGTGGATTACAGAAACAATGGTAACTCCCCGTCTCTGTAATGGATAAGCTGAGGGGACGTGGGAGATCGCACCGTCTGTCCAGCCGGCAAGCTACGGACAAACTGGGTCACACGCTGGATCATGTACATATACACGTCGTATATACACAAAAACGCACACGCACACGCACACGCACACACATGCGCATAAACAAGAGTTGGTATTGTCTTGTGGGATCTACCTCCTTCTCGGTGAGCGTCAGGCCAGTGCAGTTTCGGTCTATGACTTACTGTGTAAAGTTTAAGGGGCACCTTGAACTTCAACATTGCCCGACCCTAAACTACCCACCCTTCACATGGCGGTTGTCTGCAGAGACCCATAGTGTAATAAGTGAAAGCAACAGGGGCAAGACCAGGGTCCCGGCATTGACTGACAGTCGATGAAACCATTTTTCTTGTCCTTCGGTCGTGGCCAAGACCATATATCTTGATTCAAGCGATCAAAGCTTGAAAATGCTAACGCTTTGCCACGACCTCCTCCTCCGTTACCTTCGATTCTGAACATGTAGGGAGCCAGCTTGGGTGATCGGCTGAGTGATGAAGACTTGTCCGCTCATAACCGCAAACATCTTCTAAATGGCATGGAGGGTTTCGGAATCTGCGAAAGGAAGTTTGCGGCTTCAGGTGTGTGCTTATTCCCGAATCAACTATAGGTTTGAGGTTTGTCTGCTCTGCTGCCTGCCTGGGTGACAGTGGCGTGCCGCGACAAGAAATTCCATGAGGGAGGGCGAGAGCTAGGGAGGGAGGAGGAGGCGGAGGAGGAGGAGGAGGGCTCCTGCTCTCACTGCTCTCCCTTTCAATTTGCCTCTGTGTGTGTGTGTGCCTCTGTGTGTCTGCACATACATGGCAAATACGCACATTGCTACTGCCCAGGCCCCGGACCGGATTGAAACTCCGGACGACGCCGGTGTGGACCCTGGGTGCACTCCAAAGCTCAGTTTTGCGAATAGCCAAAACAAAACACAGAACTGTATATTTTCCGAGTTGGCACAAGCCCAAAAAAACGTGGACTACACCGTCACCTTCGCGTGAAAGTTCAAGTGGTAGTGGCAGTGGTAGTCATGGTCGCAGTCGAAATCGTAATCGTCGTAGTAGCGGTAGTAATAGTGGTTTTTGTGTTGTAGTGGTGGTAGTAGTGGTGATAATAATAGTAGTAGTAGTGGTATAGCAGTAGTAGCAGCAATGGTAGTCGTAGTCGTAGTAGTAGTAGTAGTAGTAGTAGTAATAGTAGTAGTAGTACTACTACTACTACTAGTAGTCGTCGTCGTAGCAGGAGGAGCAGCAGCAGCAGTAGCAGTTGCAGTGGCAGTAGCAGTAGC